CGTTTAAAGATATATTTTTTTCATTAATGTTAATGTAAAAATTTTTAATTTTGCACCAAAAGAATCTTAGAAAACTTACCTAACCTTATTATAACAGGAGAAATTTATTTTAGCCTAACCCAACTAAATATATTTTAGATTTGTTTACAATAATTTAATACTAAACAAACACAGTGAAATATATTTTTTTCGTTAGGTTCAGAATGATTTTGGCGAAATTATTGCATACACAAATTTTCACTTGTCCTATATGGCAAGATGATCGTTCCTTTTTAAGCCAAGATCGCAAATTCTGCCTATTCGGCACGACATATATATGTGGACAGGTAAGTGTTGTCAGGGATCTTATGTGGTTGGCTTCATTTTTGGTTATTCGACAAAAAAAAGCATATAACAGACTGAGTTCCTCGCTCAGAGGATAAAGAGTAGATTTATCGCTTATTAAACACGTGCCAACACAGACTAAACATGGGCTAAAACCAGAACAAACACCTGCCCAAAACAAGCCCAGACACAGACACAGACACAGACACACACACACACACACACACACACACACACACACACACACACACACACACACACACATACACACACACACACACACACACACAATCACACACACACAACTTATTCATAAATGCAGTGACTCATTGTATCACTCCTTGTGTCCAGACTCAGCTACTCACACCTGTCTCCTTGTAGATATATATGCGTAGGCTTCGTACAGCTTTTGTAGATGGCTCCTTCTTTCTGCTGATGTAGGTTCTCTGTGTCTGTTCTTTTAGGTTCCGTGTATATGTTGTTCTTGAACTCATTGTGTCTGTTGTGCCTTGGAGAGTATAGGTTCTTTGAAGGTACAAGTTCCTTGAAGGTACAGGTTCCTTGAAGGTACAGGTTCCTTGAAGGTACAGGTTCCTTGAAGGTACAGGTTCCTTGAAGGTACAGGTTCCTTGAAGGTACAGGTTCCTTGAAGGTACAGGTCCCTTGAAGGTACAGGTTCCTTGACGGTACAGGTCCCTTGAAGGTACAGGTTCCTTGAAGGTACAGGTTTCTTACATTATTTACGGTTCTTCACATCGTGAGAGTCTGAGTCTGCTGCAACATCCACTTGCTCTCAGCTCATGACTGAACCAACATTAATTCATTCAGAATAAAGCCCGCAGCACCGTGGCTGGAACAAGTCGCACTTGATCCACAAACTGCAAGTGCAAACTGTAGTGGTGACTTGGCCAATATCCATAATTCCAACATGTAGACTGAGTGTAAGACACTCCATTCTCTGTGTGAATGGAGTGGGAGTGTTTAATATCTACTAGTGTACTAGTGGAAGTTTCTAACCTTAAGGCTTTCTAGAGTACTCTTGGGACTTTTTTTATTAGCATTTGCTGGTGTACTGGACGTATAACAGTAATACGTCAGTCTGCCCCTCCTCCTCCTCCTCCCTAGCAGGTTACGAGGCAGGAAAGTGCCGTGGGAAGTGCAGGATTCCTATGCAGGCCGTCGACTCCACCACCATCCACGCCTTGGTCATGACCCGCCTGCATGAGGCACAGGCAGCGCATCATGACACACTGTATGGTCAACGGACACTCTGTAAGATGCAGGATACACGCAGTGGATTGTGACATTGTGCATACTCTACAGGTCATGTTTTGTGAAATGCACAAGTGTCGTTGCTAGTCAAGAAGCAACTGTCCTTACTTAGAGATAACAAGGAGAATCCAGAGATAATAAGAAGGATCCAGAGAAAGTACAGAGGATCCAGAGATAACAAGGGAGCAAGATATAAAAAGGGAGGATTCAAAGATAATAAGGGAGAATCAAGAGATAAAGAGGGAGGATGCAAAGATAACACGGGAGGATTCAACAATAACAAGGAGAGATTCAGTGATAACGAGGTGGAAATCCAGAAGTAATAAGAGAGGATCCAGAGATAGCAAGGACTTCAGAGACATCAATTAAGATGTGATCGCTTATGACACGGATAACATTACGTGAGGGTTGTATTGTGATCGGTTACACCACAAATAACGACACATGAGATTGTGTTGTGATCGGTTCGACATGAGATAACATTACACGAAGCTGTGTGTGATCGGTTACACCACAAACATCACACGAGGCTATGAAGTGATCGCTTGCATCACGAATAACAACACAGGAAGCTGAAGTACAAATAACAACACATGAAGGTGTGTTGTGATCGCTTACACCACAGATATTATCACACAATGTCAGCAAATACGGCGGGGAGGCAACATCAGACTCCGTCTAGACACTGAAAAGGGAATCTTTATCCATTCACCCCGAAAATAAATATATATCACATTCATTGTAAAACACGATGCAATATCCCAGTCTTACCAAGGCTGCGCTGCAAGGTTGACATTATATCAGCAGAGTTGAGAGATGCAATTAATATTTCTGTTATGTAACCTTCGGAATTAATAGGCGCAAGAATATTTTTTTCATTATTATTGTTGTTACTCTTACTGAAGTTGTTGCTGCTGTTAATAATAATAAAAATAATAATAATAACAACAACAATAATAATAATAATAATAATAATAAAAATAATAATAATAATCTTAAAAGGTGGAAGGAGTAGGGAGAGTCGGGGGGAGGGGAGAGGAGGGGGGCGGGGTAGGCGGAGTTACAAGGAGGTAGGATCAGCTTGATAAAATAAACAGGTGTGTGTCCCATGTGTTCGCTGGTGACAGTGACGAATGGTGGAGGCAGGTGGTGGAGGCAGGTGGTGGAGGCTACTGGAGTTCAACCTCAGTGATAATGATAGTATCAGCAGACAAGAGGAAGAGTACCACCTGAGATGGAGGCCAGAGGAAGAGTACCACCTGAGAGGGAGGCCAGAGGAAGAGTACCACCTGAGAGGGAGGCCAGAGGAAGAGTACCACCTGAGAGGGAGGCCAGAGGAAGAGTACCACCTGAGATGGAGGCCAGAGGAAGAGTACCACCTGAGAGGGAGGCCAGAGGAAGAGTACCACCTGAGAGGGAGGCCAGAGGAAGAGTACCACCTGAGAGGGAGGCCAGAGGAAGAGTACCACCTGAGAGGAGGCCAGAGGAAGAGTACCACCTGAGAGGGAGGCCAGAGGAAGAGTACCACCTGAGAGGGAGGCCAGAGGAAGAGTACCACCTGAGAGGGAGGCCAGAGGAAGAGTACCACCTGAGAGGGAGGCCAGAGGAAGAGTACCACCTGAGAGGGAGGCCAGAGGAAGAGTACCACCTGAGAGGGAGGCCAGAGGAAGAGTAGAACCTGAGAAGTGTGCACATGATACCAGACCTCTTTCCCGAGGTCCACATAAACAATAACATTGGTGGTATGTGCAGAACTGGCTATTACGAGAACATCGTTCAGGCATGTGAATAAGGAGGCATTCAGAGCAGTGTACACGTCTTGCCTAAGACCAGTACTAGGGTAAGCAGCGCCAGAATGAAATTCTCATCACTGAGGTCAGCAAGACCAACATTAGAGTACGTAGCACCAGTGCAGAAACCCCCCTTCCCCTATCACCAGGCATAACAAAGAAAATACGAGAAAGGCTTGTTCCATAGCTACAAGAGCTGGAATGTTGAGATAGTTTCCGGGGGTCACCGCCCCCGCGGCCCGACTCCAGATCAGGCCTCCTGGTTGCTGGCCTGGTCGATCAAGCTATAAGTGCCCGCAGCCCGATATAAGAACCGGAATGCATTATGAGGGGATGTAATGGAGGGCAACTCAATACACGAATCTAGAAGTAAATGAGAGACTCTAGAAGAACAGAGAGTAAGTTATAACAGGTAATCGAAGTGCATAAACAGGGACCAAGAACTCAATCTTCCTTCCCCCCCTTCCCCCGCACACACACACACACACACACACACACACACACACACAGATCGTAGTACCACACCGAGACATCTCTAGGAACCAGCAGGCAGACGTCCTTCAAACCCATATAAAACAATGTATGGCAGTGTTGAGCAGGTCGCGCCATCCATCACAGTCTTGGCCCAGGATTCCTCCTCTCACCAAACACTGATTGGTATGCTGAAGACCCGACGGTTCCCCTAGCTTAATCAAGACACACTCGACGGGTCCCCCAGCTTATTCAAGACACACTTGACGGGTCCCCCAGCTTATTCAAGACACACTCGACGGGTCCCAGACAAGCATCGACATCTACTCGTGGGACTAGAAGGGCATCTACTTAGAAAAAAGCGAGAAGAGTATTTTACTCAGGGACTCAGAAGGGTACCCATACATGAAGTGGCCACTTAGAAGGGTATCACAGGGATCCCTGAAAGAGAATCAAGTCACCATGAGAGTACATGGTAGGTGGCAAGTGTAAGCTTGTGAAAGACTACTTGTTGATCATGCAAGAGGAGTGGGTTGTGCATGTTGCAGGTGAGGGGTGGAGGTGCATGTTGCAGGTGGGATGGAAGTGCATGTTGCAGGTGGGATGGAAGTGCATGTTGCAAGTGGGATATTGGTCCATGTTGCAGGTGGGATGGAGGTGCATGCTGCAGGTGGGATGGAAGTGCATGTTGCAGGTGGGATGAAGGTGCATGTTGTGAAATGTGTTTGTAAGGGAGGCAGGATGAAGAAAGTCATTCTGACCTCAGCTGGATTATAGTGGTCGTGGTGGTGCTGGTGGTGCTGGTGGTGGTGGCAAAGGTTGTTGGTGGTTTGGGTGGTAGTGGTGAAGGTGGTGGTGGTCGTCATAATGGTTTTGGAAGTGATAGTGGCTGAAGTGAGGTGGTGATGGTGGTGTCTGTGGTATTGGAGGTAGTGGTGGTGTGGTGGTGGTGGTGAAGGTTACTAGTAGGGATGGTGAATGTTACTAGCAGTAGTGGTGAATGTTACTAGTGGTGGTGGTGAAGGTTGCTAGTAGTGGTGGTGAAGGTTACTAGTGGTGGTGGTGAAAGTTACTAGTAGTGGTGGTGAAGGTTACTAGTAGTGGTGGTGGTAATGGTGGTAGGAAGTGTTTGGGTAATGGAGGTGGTGATGGTGGTGGGTAGTGGTTAATGACAGTGATGGTGTTGGTAGTGGTAATTGCGATGGTGACGAAGGACAGTAGTGGCAGTGGTGGTTAGCAATGGCAGTGACGATACGATGGTGGGCAGCCATGGTGGGTAGGTCAGTGACAGGCATCCACCACGAAGACCACATCATCTTGCACTACTGGCTCACTAGTTCACCTCATACCCTCCAGAAAGTGAGACAAAACTCCCGGAGAGGGCCAGGAGGGGGCCAGGTAGGCCAGAGGCAGGGTAAGGTAGGCCTGGAGTGTGCTGGTGTAAAGCGCATGCGCAGGTGTGGTCCAGAGTGTGGCCCGGGGCTGGTCACCACAGAGGCAGCACCACATGCCCCACCTCCCCAGCCCTGCCCTCCAGTCGCGTCTTCAGCAGCCAGAGAGTTGTCCTCACGCACCTCTCCTCCCTCAAAAACCTCCCTCACTCTGCCCCCTCACATCGTGCCTTCAGTGCCACCCTCGTGGGTGATACACTTCCTCCTGTGACACTATCCTTGTGCTATAATATACTCTGGTGAAAGTTTGGGTGAGGACGTGGCAGCAGCAGCAGCAGCAGCGTCCTGTAAGTCGCCTGGCAGAGGTGTGACCACAGCTGGCATGCTGCATACTCTCATGCCTTACCTGCATGCTACTCTCTCTCCCCTACCATCAGTCTCCTGCACCCTCAGGGACAGCTGATGTGCCCGTGCAGCTGCGTGAAGGTGTCGCTGCAGCAGGAGCTGCACAATAACTCCTCCCTTGCGTTGCTTCCAGCTGTTGCTACGGAGGACCCAGCGCTACCTGGAAGTCGCGAGCTAGCCCAAGACTCGGCCACCCACTGTTATGCAGCACAGCATCTGTCACAAGTTACGCAGCACGTTGCTACTCACAGCACCTCCTCACTCACAGCTCCTCGTCCCTCACAGCAACTCGTCACTCTCAACAGCTCAAGCTCACAACAGAAGCAGAGAGAGAAGTACCCCGGGGAAGTGTGAGACCAAGTGTTTGGTGACAGTGGTGGTGTCAGGTGAAGATTGGCGCACATACGACACATACACCCACGGTGTTCAGAGTGTGACCAGGTTATTTGTGTTTGTTGGTCGCAGCGGTACTAGGTAGCCTAAGGCCTAGCCAATAGAGTGATAGTTGTGGGCAGGTTCCCACAACCCACACGAGTGTGTTCAACAGAGAGTCTAAAGAGACCTAATGTTTAGCGTAGACCATTGTAGTACTTTTTACAGTGATTGTGTGGGACCTGGTGCTTAGTGTCAGCTCGGAGTGCCAGTTAGTGGCACTGTTAGCGACCCAGCACCCAGCTGGGGTGCTCTCCCGAAGGCACTGCTGAAACCAAACATTGCCCTTGTTTCACTTCTTACAGTCAACGTCTCGTTTATAAGAAATCATTCAGAGGAATTAATAAGGCCGAGGCTGCGAAACTGTGGTGGAGGGCACCCTGGTGGCCCTCGAGGTGGTTGTGGTGGTCCTCGTGTCTTTATGGAAGGATGTGAGTGATGTGCCCTCAGCTTGGCGACCACCACACACCCGCCCCACGCTCACACGCTCACCAGGCTGCACCATTAAGACAGTCACTGCATCCTACAAGTAACTGGTAAGCATTTTGATTCCCGTTATGTCTTATTTTTTTCCCTAAAGGTCTTGCGAAACTTGCTGATTTCTTGCTTTTATTTTGTTCACAGTCTCTGATCTATACACACCTTCTAGGACTTCTTCACACATCTTAACCCATAAAACTATCAAAGATCTGCTCTCCTCAAGAGATGCTTCCTGACGTTTGTATGGGATTTTTAATTCAGTGAAGTTGTCGGTAGATCTCGCATTCAACTAGTACAATAATGTTATTGATAGGCTGGATAACTATAACTTTCAAAGCAAGAGATACAAAGCTAATGATGATACTCTTCAGATCATTTGTTCTCTCTAGGTCGGAATATTGCTGTATTCTAACGGTTCCCTTCAAGGTAGGCGAATTGCACAACTGGATAATATACAGAGAACCTTTCCAGTTGATAAACCAAGTCAAGCACCTAACTTACTGGAACTGCTTGAAGCCCTTCTAACTGTAATCTTCAGAATGTAGGTGAGAAGGATATAACATAATCTACATCAGGAAAATTCTAGAAGGATTGGTCCTAAATCTGTACACTGTAATATGAAAGCAAGAGCCTTGGCAGATGGTGCTTTACATCTCCAATAAAAATCAGTAACGCGAAGACGACACTGTAAGGTAGCACAGACAGTGTGAAGAAACCAAGACTCTTCAACATCGTCCCATCGTTCACGATAGGAATATGATAAGTTACTCAAGCCATTTCCTGATTAGCTGGGCTGTGATGCATACGTCTGACTGATGGCGGCGGGCACCAACAGCTTGGACGATCAGGCCAGCAACCAAGAAACTTAGTACGGGACCGAGCTGCGGGGAGGGGGGAGATCAGCACCCCCTCGGCCCGGTACTGCTACTGCAGCAGAGCTGGTGTACCACCTTCAGTGCTTGTAGCTACAGTAGCAGTGCTGCTGGTGTACCACCTTCAGTGCTTGTAACTACTGTAGCAGTGCTTGTAGCTACTGTAGCAGTGCTAGTGGTGTACCACCTTCAGTGCTTGTAGCTACTGTAGCAGTGCTGCTGGTGTACCACCTTCAGTGCTTGTAGCTACTGTAGCAGTGCTGCTGGTGTACCACCTTCAGTGCTTGTAGCTACTGTAGCAGTGCTGCTGGTGTACCACCTTCAGTGCTTGTAGCTACTGTAGCAGTGCTGCTGGTGAAACCACCTTCAGTGCTTGTAGCTACTGTAGCAGTGCTGCTGGTGTACCACCTTCAGTGCTTGTAGCTACTGTAGCAGTGCTAGTGGTGTACCACCTTCAGTGCTTGTAGCTACAGTAGCAGAGCTTGTGGTGTACCACCTTCAGTGCTTGTAGCTACTGTAGCAGTGCTGGTGGTGTACCACCTTCAGTGCTTGTAGCTACTGTAGCAGTGCTAGTGGTGTACCACCTTCATTGCTTGTAGCTACTGTAGCAGTGCTGGTGGTGTACCACCTTCAGTGCTTGTAGCTACTGTAGCAGTGCTGCTGGTGTAACACCTTCAGTGCTTGTAGCTACTGTAGCAGTGCTGCTGGTGTACCACCTTCAGTGCTTGTAGCTACTGTAGCAGTGCTAGTGGTGTACCACCTTCAGTGCTTGTAGCTACTGTAGCAGTGCTGCTGGTGTACCACTTTCAGTGCTTGTAGCTACTGCAGCAGTGCTGGTGGTGTACCAAGTTCAGTGCTTGTAGCTGCTGTAGCAGTGCTGGTGGTGTACCACCTTCAGTGCTTGTAGCTACTGCAGCAGTGCTGGTGGTGTACCACCTTCAGTGCTTCTAGCTACTGTAGCAGAGCTGGTGGTGTACCACCTTCAGTGCTTGTATCTACTGTAGCAGTGCTGGTGGTGTACCACCTTCAGTGCTTGTAGCTACTGCAGCAGTGCTGGTGGTGTACCATCTTCAGAGCTTGTAGCTACTGCAGCAGTGCTGGTGGTGTACCATCTTCAGTGCTTGTAGCTACTGTAGCAGAGCTGGTGGTGTACCACCTTCAGTGCTTGTAGCTACTGCAGCAGTGCTGGTGGTGTACCACCTTCAGTCCCTATGGCTACTGTAGCAGTGCTGGTGTCGTACCACCTTCAGTGCTTGTAGCTACTGCAGCAGTGCTGGTGGTGTACCACCTACAGTGCTTGTAGCTACTGTAGCAGAGCTGGTGGTGTTACACCTTCAGTGCTTGTAGCTACTGTAGCAGTGCTGGGGGTGTACTCACCTTCAGTGCTTGTAGCTACTGTAGCAGTGCTGGTGGTGTACTACCTTCAGTGCTTGTAGCTACTGTAGCAGTGCTGGTGGTGTACTACCTTCAGTGCTTGTAGCTACTGTAGCAGAGCTGGTGCTGTACTACCTTCAGTGCTTGTAGCTACTACAGCAGTGCTGGTGGTGTACCACCTACAGTGCTTGTAGCTACTGTAGCAGAGCTGGTGCTGTACTACCTTCAGTGCTTGTAGCTACTGTAGCAGTGCTGGTGGTGTACTACCTTCAGTGCTTGTAGCTACTGTAGCAGTGCTGGTGGTGTACTACCTTCAGTGCTTGTAGCTACTGTAGCAGTGCTGGTGGTGTACTACCTTCAGTGCTTGTAGCTACTGTAGCAGTGCTGGGTGTACCACCTTCAGTGCTTGTAGCTACTGTAGCAGTGCTGGTGGTGTACCACCTTCAGTGCTTGTAGCTACTGTAGCAGTGCTGGTGGTGTACCACCTTCAGTGCTTGTAGCTACTGTAGCAGTGCTGGTGTGTACTACCTTCAGTGCTTGTAGCTACTGTAGCAGTGCTGGTTGTGTACCACCTTCAGTAATTGTAGCTACTGTAGCAGTGCTGGTGGTGTACCACCTTCAGTACTTGTAGCTACTGTAGCAGTGCTGGTGGCGTACCACCTTCAGTGCTTGTAGCTACTGTAGCAGTGCTGGTTGTGTCCCAAACCTTCAGTAATTGTAGCTACTGTAGCAGTGCTGGTGGTGTACCACCTTCAGTACTTGTAGCTACTGTAGCAGTGCTGGTGGCGTACCACCTTCAGTGCTTGTAGCTACTGTAGCAGAGCTGGTGGTGTACCACCTTCAGTGCTTGTAGCTACTGTAGCAGAGCTGGTAGTGTACTGCCTTCAGTGCTTGTAGCTACTGTAGCAGTGCTGGTGGTGTACCACCTTCAGTGCTTGTAGCTACTGTAGCAGTGCTGGTGGTGTACCACCTTCAGTGCTTGTAGCTACTGTAGCAGTGCTGGTGGTGTACCACCTTCAGTGCTTGTAGCTACTGTAGCAGTGCTGGTAGTGTACTGCCTTCAGTGCTTGTAGCTACTGTAGCAGTGCTGGTGGTGTACTACTTTAAGGGCTTGTAGCTACTGTAGCAGTGCTTGTGGTGTACCACCTTCAGTGCTTGTAGCTACTGTAGCAGTGCTTGTGGTGTACCACCTTCAGTGCTTGTAGCTGCTGTAGCATTGCTGGTGGTGTACCACCTTCAGTGCTTGTAGCTACTGTAGCAGTTCTGGTGGTGTACCACCTTCAGTGCTTGTAGCTACTGTAGCAGTGCTGGTGGTGTACCACCTTCAGTGCTTGTAGCTGCTGTAGCATTGCTGGTGGTGTACCACCTTCAGTGCTTGTAGCTACTGTAGCAGTTCTGGTGGTGTACCACCTTCAGTGCTTGTAGCTACTGTAGCAGTGCTGGTGGTGTACCACCTTCAGTGCTTGTAGCTACTGTAGCAGTTCTGGTGGTGTACCACCTTCAGTGCTTGTAGCTACTGTAGCAGTTGTGGTGGTGTACCACCTTCAGTGCTTGTAGCTACTGTAGCAGTGCTGGTTGTGTACTACCTTCAGTGCTTGTAGCTACTGTAGCAGAGCTGGTGGTGTACTACATTCAGTGCTTGTAGCTACTGTAGCAGTACTGGTGGTGTACTACCTTCAGTGCTTGTAGCTACTGCAGCAGTGCTGGTGGTGTACTACCTTCAGTGCTTGTAGCTACTGTAGCAGTACTGGTGGTGTACCACCTTCAGTGCTTGTAGCTACTGCAGCAGTGCTGGTGGTGTACCACCTTCAGTGCTTGTAGCTACTGTAGCAGTGCTGTTGGTGTACCACCTTCAGTGCTTGTAGCTAATGTAGCAGTGCTGGTGGTGTACTACCTTCAGTGCTTGTAGCTACTGTAGCAGTGCTGGTGGTGTACTACCTTCAGTGCTTGTAGCTACTGTAGCAGAGCTGGTGGTGTACCACCTTCAGTGCTTGTAGCTACTGCAGCAGTGCTGGTGGTGTACCTCCTTCAGTTCTTGTAGCTACTGCAGCAGTGCTGTTGGTGCACCACCTTCAGTGCTTGTAACTACTGTAGCAGTGCTGGTGGTGTAACACCTTCACTGCTTGTAACTACTGTAGCAGAGGTGGTGGTATGCCACCTTCAGTGCTTGTAGCTACTGTAGCAGTGCTGGTGGTGTACCACCTTCAGTGCTTGTAGCTACTGTAGCAGTGCTGGTGATATACCACCTTCAGTGCTTGTAGCTACTGTAGCAGTGCTGGTGGTGTACCACCTTCAGTGCTTGTAGATACTGTAGCAGAGCTGGTGGTGTATCACCTTCAGTGCTTGTAGCTACTGCAGCAGTGCTGGTGGTGTACCACCTTCAGTGCTTTTAGCTCCTGTAGCAGTGCTGGTGGTGTACCACCTTCAGTGCTTGTAGCTACTGTATCAGTGCTTGTGGTGTACCACATTCAGTGCTTGTAGCTACTGTAGCAGTGCTGGTGGTATACCACCTTCAGCGCTTGTAGCTACTGTATCAGTGCTGGTGGAATACCACCTTCAGTGCTTGTAGCTACTGTAGCAGTGCTCGTGGTGTACCACCTTCAGTGCTTGTAGCTACTGTAGCAGTGCTGGTGGTGTACTACCTTCAGTGCTTGTAGCTATTGTAGCAGAGCTGGTAGTGTACTGCCTTCAGTGCTTGTAGCTACTGTAGCAGTGCTGGTGGTGTACCACCTTCAGTGCTTGTAGCTACTGTAGCAGTGCTGGTGGTGTACCACCTTCAGTGCTTGTAGCTACTGTAGCAGTGCTGGTAG